TGAATAATCTTAAAATTTCTAAGGTCATAGTTTAGTCAACTAGTTTAAGGAACAAAATATATGTCTAGTCAAGGTTTATCTGAGAACATTGGGTTTTTGTTCAAACTTTATCTACATAGCACATGGTAATTAAAAGTATCAAACTGATGAAACTAACCTTCTTGGATGTTTAACAACCATACTTTAAGGCCTATACTAATCTGGTCAGAGGGACTTGACAGTTTTTGCTCTGTGCCTTCCAAGGTTGACTAAGTTCCAGGGGACTATGGAGCATTTCTCAAAATGTCCTGTAATTGTGGTGAGTCACCTGTCCTCTTGTTCGGGGAGTCCATGGAGATCCCATCAGATGGACTTGAACCAGCGTCCAGTCTACAAAGAAGAAGGTCAACACAGAGGAAACATTTCCTCCATGCTTCCAAGTGAAGCCAGCCATGGTCGAGCAGGACCTTTGACTTATCTTCAAATAGATGGAACTGGTAAAAGAAAGGAGCTAGGGGTTCCTCTCAAGCCCATGTGACCCCCCTTGGAGGGATGCTTTTGAAGCTCTTGTCAAGAAATTCCAATGGACTCTCATATGAACATTTGGAATTTGCCCCGTTTTGAATTTTTTCTGGTTCCCTGTCAAGAACTTGTAATGCTAATTACTCTTGCCTTTACTTCTCCTTCACATCTCCTAGGACCAGTCAAGGACTTTCTTTTCTCCCTACAGTTAGAGTTATGCAATTTGGGAGTCTTTTATTAGATAGACCCACTGAAGGGGTACTCCAATTGCCTCACCCTGCGTCCCTGTTCAGCATGGATGTAGCCAGAGTGGTCTGTGTCCTGATTCCCCATCAGCAATTTGGGTAACCTCTTCAGAGGATGGTGTGGTAGTAGGAGGTAGGGGGGCTGGAGAGATGGCTCAGTGGTTAAGAACACTGGTTGTTCTTGCAGAAGACCTGGGTTCAAATCCCAGCACCCACACGGCAGCTAACAACTGTCCATAACTCCAGTCCAAGGGGATCCAACAGCCTCTTCTGACCTCTGCGGGCACTGCACAACATGGGTGCACTTACATATATATAGGCAATACACTCATACACATAAAATAAAAATAGTAAATAAAAGATTATTTCTTTGTTTAATTGAATTTTTGTGTATTTCATACAGAACAGCTCAAACAATCTTTCATAGGCATTGAGGGCAAAAATGACAAAAGTATTTGGGAGCTCTGATCTAATCCCTAAAAGATTTTAGGGTTACCTCTTCAGAGGGGGAAATGTTAGAGTAGTAAAAAGCCCCATAAAAAAGAAGAAAGCATACATGAAGTTGTTCAGGAAAAAGTGATGGGGAGATATGGGAGGAGTTGGAGAGGAGGGAGTGGGTGTGGATTTGATCAAAACACCTTATATGCATTTTTTTAAAAAAAGTTTAAAAAATACAAAAAGTAAAATGTTAAAACAACTGAGGTGATGGTTTTGCTATCAGATATAAAATATATCACTTATAAATGGTAAGACTTTATAGCTCTAATATACATAATTTTGATTGATCATATCTGGGAGATTCAGGAACATTCCATATTAGGTACAGGATCTGGTTAATATTTTCTTCAGATTGAACATTAACTTCCACTTCCATATTAATCCAACAGTCAATTTACTGGCTCTATGTTCACATTAAGACCTACATACAAATGAACATTGCCTCTCATCTCAACGTCTACTAATACCTTCTGCTGGCTCTCCTGGTTCACACCACTGACTCCTACAATCCACTTTCCCCAGAGTAAAGCAGAGCATTCTTTCTGTAAAGCTTAGATTTTTCTTTTACATCAACTTGTTTAAATTTCTCTAATTTGCCACTGCTGGGCATGGCAGTGCATGTCTTTAGTCCCAAGCAGAGGCAGGCGGATCTCTGTGAGTTCAAGGTCTGCCTGGTCTACATAGTGAGTTCCAGGCCAGCTGGGGCTAGTGGGAGACCCTGTCTCAAAAAAAAAAAAAAAGACCAAAAAAACCAAACTCCCCAACTAATGTTTGCCCACTGCTCTTAGAATAATACTGACCTGAAAATACAGACTAGATTATTTTATAAAATGAAATTCCAAATTTGAATGGGGGGGGTAGTGTGACTATGAACAAAGTGATCATGAGTTAGTAACTGCTGAACCTGAGAGACAGTATGGAGGTCTCAGGTTTGTTTTCTCCCCATGCATATATAACAGATATTACATTTTTATCCTCATCTCACGCCTTTAGGTCTTGCTCACTAGATGTCCCAGTACTGCAAACACCATTGCAGACCTAGCTCCTGAGTTCACTGAAAGATCCCACACTTGTCTGGGTGCTCTCAACCGAGCCCCCGGTGTTTACCTAGAGTCCTCATTCGGCCAACCTTTTCACACTATAAACAACAGTCTGTCTTCCTTTTTAAGAAAGCTTTATAGTCATGTTTTATTTGTTGATTGATAGAACCTAGGGCCTCACACATGCTAAAGCAAGGGCTCTATCACTGAGTTATATCTCCAGCCCTTTTTCTTTTAATTAAAAAAAAAAAGTGTGTGTGTATGTGTGTAAGTGTAGGGACACGCATGCCATGGTATACATGTGAAGATCAGAGGATAACTTTGTGTAGTTGGTTTTCTCTTTCTACCATGGCCTTTGGGATTGAATCCAGGTCAAAAGGCTTACAGGGCAAGTACTTTTACCTGCTAAGCCATCTCACCAGCCCCAGTTCTTTTTATCTTTTTGAGATATGATCTCACTAAGTTGGCAGGTCTTAAAATTTTTAATCCTCCTGCTTCAGCTTCCTCAACAGCTGGGATTATAGGCCTGTGCCTCCTGGCTCAGAAAAAAGCCTCATATGCTTGTTTTAAAATCCAGCCACTTAACCATCCTTGACCCCAGGGCCGGCTGGCTTCAACACTCAGCTACACACCATTCTCTTGTTGTTATAGACAAAGTGCTGCAGCACTGACTTCTGCTTTCTAAACTGACTGCCAAACTCAGGCTTCGGCCCACTGTCTCCTACTTTAATTAAGGATACTGGGCTGGGGATGTAGCTCAGTAGTAGAGCACTTGCCTCATGTGCACAAGGCCCTGGATTCAATCCCCAGCACTGGAAAAAAAAAATTACCACCACACTTCTGGACTTCTGATTATTTTCTATTCCTCACTAGGAGATCACTAAAGAATGCTTTATTTCCTTTGTGCAACTCAAAATGAACCCTGAAAGAGGCACTGAGGCAGTGATTCCGGACAGAAAAACACCAAACTGCAGAAATCAACTGCAATACATGTGCTTCTTAGGGGTAGGGAGCAAACCTGTTAAAACTTTCACCTTAGGCATGAACCTTCCTTAGCACCCAAGACAAAGAGGCTTTCTCAGCTCTCTGCCCTTCCATTATGGGCATACCAGTAGAAATTCAAAATTATGTACTCTGTAAAAAAACTATCAAAATAGTATCATTTCTTTGGGGGGGGCAGGATCTCCCATAGCCCCAGTTGGCCTGGAACTCACTATGTAAACCAGACTGGACGTGATCTCAAAGATTTGTGTGCCTCTGCCTCCCCAGTGCTGGGACTAAAGTATTCAACACCATGCCTAGCAATTTTTTTTTTTGACAGGGTTTCCCTAGTCCCAGTCTGTCTGGAAGTTACTATGTAGACCAGGCTGGCCTCGATCTCACTGAGATCCACCTTGCTCTGCCTTCTGAAGAGCTGTAATTAAAGGCATGCATACCCGGTGCAATTTTTAAAAAAATGTGCATGAGAAAGTGCTCTGCCTGTGTGTATGTTAACAGCATTCGCACACCCAGTGCTCTTAGATACCAGAAGAGGTCGTTGGGTCCTTTAGAATTGGAGATATGGACAACTGTTAGTCTCCATGTGGGTGCTTGGAACTAATCTCAGTTTCTTTGCAAAAGCAACCAGTGCTTTTAACTGCTGAGCCATCACTCCATCCCCCAAAGCAGCATTCTTAAATACAATTTTTTTAAAAAAAGTATTTACATTTTAAAGTAATCCCTATAGTCCCAGCTGGCTTGGAATTCACTATATAGTCCAGGCTGGCCTCAAACTCAGACCTGCTGCTACTGCCTCCTGAGTGCTGGGAATCAAGGCATACACCACCACACTCAGTCTATAAGTCTATTATATTAAATAGTATTTTAAATGTGAAATAAAGCGACAACATATAATTTGGCTCAAGAGTAGAGACCAGGTCTCCCTTGTTCTCCACTGCACATAGCATAATGCCAACATGTACGGGACAAATTGTGTGTACAATGGATAGTTCAGTCAGCGAAGTCTCCAAAGCCTCTATAACTGCAGACACTACAGAATAACCAACTTCTCCATAGCAATGCGATGTTAACCATTTTTGGACGATCATTTAAAAACAAATACCTATGTTCGGACACACAGGGCCGTGTCTGGCAGAAGTCTGAAGCAGAAGGTGATGCTGGAAGAGACTTGGTCAGCTGTGACGGGCAGGCAGCCATCACATTCGCCACGCTGTGCGGTTTCTTTTGTCGTGGCCGTGAGTGCATTGTAAGATTGTCTGGGTCAGAACCTGTTAGAAAAGGAAAAAGGCAGGCATACAGTAAAACATCAGACACAGCACGCCAGGATAACTAATCTGCAATGTGTATGAAGAGAACAAATTAACTGCTGTCTTGGTTGCACATTCTGCAAGCAGAAGGAGCTAGCTTTAAAAATAGTTCTCTCTAGATTATGAACATGCAGAAACATGGCATTATCATACAGCCACAGAAAGCACTTTTTGTATGCACAGCCGTCCTATTATCTGCCTTTGACTTCAGTAAATAAAACATTTAGTTTTCAGACTGAGTATATATAGCTCACTGGAGAATGCTGGACTATCACAGGTGAGGAGTTCTGGGTTTTGTTTCCAGCACCAGAAAAGCAGACAAATATAGATTAAAAACAGAGAAGACCTGAACTAATCTAAAGAGAGTTCTTACTGTGATCTCAGACATTTTTATGTCAGTAATCTCGGATTTTACTTAGAGGCATGTTCAGAGTGAACAGTTTATGAAGCACTTACTTCCTGAGAAGGCACTGAAAAGTTTCACATTTTCTGAGTTCTGGTGGTCAAAGGTAGTCATATTTAAAAACTGCTGTTTTAACCAGCTCGCTCTTTCTTCTTCGAATGCCTTTCTCTAGTAGAACAAACAAGGACAATTATTCACTGTTGTTTCACACATCTTCTGCTGTTAGCTCTCTGGCCACCTACACGTTTCTTATAAGAAATATACCAGCTTATGCTGGGCATGATGGCATACACCTATAGTCCCAGCACTTGGGAGGCAGAAGCAGGCAAATCTCTGAGTTTAAGGCCAGCCTGGTCTACACAGTGAGTTCCAGGCCAGCTAGGGCTATAGGGAGATCCTGTCTCAAAAAGACAAAAAAAAAACAAAACAAAACAAAAAAAAAACCCTAAGAAATATAGCAGCTTAGGAAACTAAAAAAACACTTGAGAAATTTGTTTTTTATAAAAAATCCATCCATCTCACTTACTAGACCAATAATCACAATTTTTATGGGAACAGAATATTAGCAGAACTCTTGAATACATAACTATAAAATTGCCAACAACAGAAAAGTATCCAACTTCACAAATTAATCACATAGAAAGGACTTTTGACTTCGCCAAGCATTTCTCTGGTCCTCTAAGTCATCTTGCCCTGGTCACCACCACTGAGCAACAAGAGGGCACCTGGAGATTATGCCAAGTATCCCTTTTCTGAACAACTAATGATTCCTAAACAAAGCTTTCACTATCATCCCTCCACAGGTATAACGTATCACTGCCAACCCCCCAGGCCAACCCCTCCCTGGCCCTGTGAGCAGATACACTCTAGGGCAGGACAAAGCATCAGGAAGAGACAGACAAAGCAGCAATTCCTCAGATCAGGGTCCAGGACACAGGCTAAGAACAGTGATGCTACTAGACAAGCGAACATGCTAGAGCAAACTGTTGTGTTGTCTGAGGAAGGTAGCTACTGACAAAACAGACTTTTTAATGGTGGAGGAAGTCTATGTTAACTGCTTAAAATAACCAATATAGAGGCTTTCATGCACAAATAGTATGAAATCAGGCATCACCAGACATTTAAGAAAACCAATAGCAGAAGAGAAAAAAGGCCAAGATAAATAAACTGACCACAGATAACAGATACTTAAAGAGTTCTGAGGTTCATAAATGCTTGTAAAACAACATTACACAAAGAAAAGCAAAAATGAAGAGCATTAGAAATAAAAACTCGGTGGCTGAGCGAGGTGGGATGACAGTGCAGACCTTTAATCTCAGTACGTGGGAGGCAGAGGTGGCTGGAACTGTGAGATGAAGGCCAGAATGTCTACACAGCAAGTTCCAGGCCAGGTGGGCTACAGGGAGACCCTGTCTCAAAACAAAACCCCTCAGTGGCTGAAATAAATAATAAGATGGACCCTTGGGGGATTAGTTTGGTGACAAGGAAAATGTGAGCAAATGTGCAGAATGCATGCAGCCAAGTGTCCACCTGCGGACTCTGAAGGCCAGACGCTATCTCATAGAAGCCCCAACGTGGAGACAGTAAAAGAAGGAAAAATAAACAGAAGAAAACCTCACTAAAGGAGTATAGACTTCTGCAGATGAAAAGAACTATCCAGATATATCCTGGCAAAATTCAGAACTTTAAGAACATTTCAAAAACTTTCAGAGATGGGAGAGAAAAACCCAGAAAACGATCTATTCAGCACTATGGGTTATCGTGTCATGCAGCTTCACCTCAGCAACACCAAGAGTAAGGAGAAATGTTTTCCTATTTTTGAGAGAGAAGCTAGAATTAAAATTCAATACCCAGCCAAGCCAATTAAGTATAAATGTATGTTTAGATACTCTAGGATTCAAAAAGTTTATTAACATGCACTATTCATAAAAAAAAATTTAAGGTAACAAGGGACTTCCAAAGGGAAGCCAAAAGAAGTTAACAGGAGATACAGATACAAGAAACACAGTAACAAATAGAATTCAAGAAATTACAATGTATAAAAAGAAAGCTAGTTGGCCACAGAGTGGCTCATCATTTCTAGCTGCAGAGTAACTACCTTGCATGTTTGAAGTCCTAGGTCCCAGTCTGGGGAGATGGAAATACACACAGAGACATAGACACAGACACCACAGACACAGACACAGACACAGACACAGACACACACGCACGCGCGCATGCGCGCACATAGATTATCTCTTTTATGTGTTCAAATCTATTATTTGTTTATAAAGTAACATTTACATAATCATGATGCTATAAATGTTAGTTTCACGGCTTTCACTGTTTAGGCCTCAACCTTAGACAAACTACAATACTTGTTTAAGACTACAGGGTAAAATAGAAATGCAGTAACCCTTGGCAAGGAAAAATAAAACCAGAAATATATCTGCAAAGTGAAGGCATAAGAGAGATGGGAAGAGGCTAAAAGAATCTCTGCTGGGTGTATTAGTCCTTTAATCCTAATACTCAGGAGGCAGAGGCAGGTGGAGCCAGCCAGGACTACATAGAAATGGAATCACTTAATACACAAATTATTTACAATGCATCATAAATAAACAGAATATTATGAACAAATAAAACACAGATGAGGAGGAGCACTGTGAGGACATAAAATTCCTTATCTGACACAGCAGAAAATCAGAATACTGGCATAGAGATACTGTATATTAAAGTTAAAATAGTACTCAGAAAAATGAGCCTCAGAAATTTTGAATACCACGATGATCCCTATGGAATGAACCTGGGGAGACAAGGAGGAGGACGTGTTGTACTTCATAGCATTTTGTAGGGGTTTTCTTTTTAAATCACGTTGGAACATTACATTTTAATGTTTGAAAGGGTACTATGGTGGGAATGCACTGCTAACAAAACTTCAGCTGTAGGCATGAAGGCATATGTAAAAACCAAACTGTTGACTAGGAACATGTATATTCCCGGATGAGGGTTAGGAAAGAGCTAGAGCTTTATTTTTTTACTGTGCTTTCTTTTCTATTACACAAGCCTACTCTGCTCTGTCTTCTGGCACCACATGAACTGACAGCAGACACATGACAGAAGCTCAAAAGAAACTGGCTATCTAGTAGTAAGAGACCACAAGAATTAAAACTCCTAAATCTGGCATAAGGAAAAAGTGTTCTATGATTGTCCATATGCTCAACCTTCCGTCAACTTTAAGTCATTTATGAAATGGTCAGTGAGATACTCTAGAGAAAAACTGGACAGGGGCTGGAGAGATGGCTCAGCAGTTAAGAACACTGGTTGTTCCTGAAGAAGACCCAGGTTCAAATCCCAGCACCCACATGGCAGCTAACAACTGTCCGTAACTCCAGTCCCAGGGGATCTGACAGCCTCTTCTGTCCTCCTTAGGCATTGCACGACACGGATGCACTTACCTACACACAGGTAATACACGCATACACATAAAATAAAATGAATAAAATATAAAAAAGAAAAAAAAAACACCCCCAAAACTGGACAGTAAACAAACAAAAGTCAGATCTAGGACCCATTCAGCCGAGCGTCCTCCACCCCGACCCTGCAGCACTAGTTGGTCACCTCCAATCCCAAGCAGATAGCAGCTTCAGTAAAGCTTCGCCTTTCTTTCTCGAAATTCTTCTTCTGCTCCTTAAAAAGAGACCATTCTTCTTTGAGGCGTTCTTTTTCTTCCAACAAATAGCAGTCACGTAACAGCGAAGTGGTGTCGTCATCGCACGAGGTGGCAAGCTGCTGCTATTCGATTTTAAAGCACAGTAAGTTTCAGCAGACCCTTCAGCACTCCAAACTCAAGCAAAACCAAGGAAGGCAGGCTGAAGTTTAGGCAAAGACATAAAGTCTGAAGAATCAGTGAACCAAGCAGGGCTTCCTTTTCTGACAGCTGCTTCCCTTGGCAAAGCACAGGCCACAGAAGGAGGGAACGCAGCCGAACTGTGAGTGCTGGACTTAACTGGCATGGGAAAAACACCGAGCTCTACGGATCTCAGGAAATAAAGAATAAAAAGATCTAGGGAGAGTCAGTAAAATTCGGGCCTCTCTGAAGGGAGAGGAGCTTAAAAGGTAGTTTACACTTACCTGCAACAGCTGTTGCTGTGTTTTAATCATTTCTTTACACTGCTGAATTTCTAGTTCCAGTTTCTCAGTCTCTTGTTCATGGTCTTGCCTTGAGATGACATCGTCGTCACTAAAGCCTTCTGAGTGTACCTTTGAAACTGACAAAACCCCGGGAACCTGACACAGGTTTTTCAGCCACTATCAGTGCTGTCGGTTTTGAAAATTTATTTAAAAATCGAGACTCTTACAACATTTCTTTCCGTTTTCTCATAGGTTTTCTAAAAGGTAGTTATTTTCTTTGTCCTTTTACATTTTCATAAGTTGTAATAAATTAAGTATTACTTTAAAACAATTTTTAAAAAGCAAAACAATGGTAAGGTCACGATGACTCTACAGTCATACAATTTTAGGACC